CGCGCGAAGAGGCAGATTTCCCCGCAGAAGGGGGCCGCTTGCATGCCCGATTGCGACACTTACGTCGGCGCCCCTGCTCTAGGGCCTGCTGGCCCTTCTCGGCGAGATCTGCCTGGACCTCATCTAGCGGCTTGTAGTCCGCCTGGTCAGGTGCACGTGGCCGGGGTTGCAACCTGGGCCCTCCTTGCGACCTTCGCCGCCCCCGCGGAGCCAGACCCATGGGGCCCCCTCGAGTTGGGGCCCCATCGGGCAATTGGGCCTGTGATCCGCGAAGTGCTCGCATCCACGGACTTCCTTCTCGGCGCGACTTCCGATCCTTACGTATGCCTCTTTTGTAAGCCTTCTTCTCCAGCGTTTCAAGCTGCTCGGTGCCACCCTTTCTGTTGGAACGGATGATTTTGCCCCTTTCTGGGTCCCGCTTCACAGTCCGCAGTGACTAATAATGGCGGACTTGATGGTCGGACCAGCCCTGTGCCCGCCAGTGCCTCATGTAGTCGTCTGGCGCCTGCTGGCGAACAACCCCGTCGCTCCGTTCACCAACTAATCTGAATCGAGGCTGGCCTTCGGGCTCGTCTGAGCCTTCGTCGTCCTGATGCAGGTTGCCCCGCGACCGTGCCCTTCTTGGCGGCCCCCTCGTATCTCGCGGGCGCGGGCGCTGCGCGCCGCTTGAGCGGTCGCGCGAGTGCCTGCGCGAATGACTCCGGAGACGATGGCATGGTGGATTGCTCTCAGCCTCCCATCATCTTCATCATCGTCATCCTTAGCACGCTCCACACGTCTCCAAGCCTTGCGGCTAGACGGGCGGTCATGTAGCACACAAGTATATTGAGAGCCTTCGTCATGTCGCAGTTCGCAGTGGATGCGCTCAGAAAAGGCCACCATTGTCGCGCGGGTTGCCCCGCAAAAGAATCATCATCGCAGGTTACCCTGCGTGTCGGGCGCCCAGTCACCTGCTGCCGGAAGGCCAGTCGTAGCTTCTCTTCCACGGCCATTATCGTGCCATTATCAGAACCATCCGGCTCGTACCCATCGGAGTGCTCAGGTGTCCCCGCCACCTCGTAGTCCGAGTCGATTGGTAATTGGAACTCCTCGACAGTCCCCATGCATGCAGGTTGCCCCGCGATCGGGGTGCCCAGCCAGTCTGCGAGATCTATCTCGTCGCGGTCAACGCAGACCTCCTCGTAAAGCACCTCGGCGCACGTCTCGAGGGGCGCGCTGGCGCTCACGTACCTCGCGGACACGATGTGGACAGCGGCAGTGGCCCCGTCGCCTTGGGGGCGTTCACGGCGACGATGCTGGGTGCTATGGCAGATATCACCTTCCATGATTTTCCCGTCGGTATCCTTCGGGTTACCCCGCCGCCCCTCACCTTTTCCTGAGGCGCGCCTACGGCTTTTACCCTTCCCCGGGACGATTTCCTCACACTGTGGTCCGGTGAGGGAGGGAGGCCAGGAATGCCAGCATGCCTCCACCATGTAACCGTCGTCGCTCACCTTTGCCTCTACCCCTATCCTTTGACCTAAACGCACGTCGAATTGCGCGTCGTTCCCTTCGAAGTGGTTTCTTCATGAAGCGTCTCCATCCGCGTTTCTGCTTCTTGTAGCCCAAGAGTATCCATTATGCTTGTTGTTATTAGGTGAGGTGTGCGGCCGTATCAGCAAAGGCCAAGTTACCAGTTCCTTCATCTGGCGAGGCGTCAGCATCGGTGCCTGAGTCAGAGTCGGACTCGGCGGGCTGCCCCGCCGAGCCCATTCAAGTAGCAGATTTGGCAAGGGCCGCCGTCGCCGACGGTCCCTGACATTGAGCCCAGGAGTCTTGCGACCCCATGGGCTGGCCACCTTGCTGGCTTAATAGAATGGTGGCCTCGTTTGGTTGCATATCGTTATTCCAAATGGTGCTGGCAGGTCGCCCCGCATGAGTCTCACGATGAAAGACATCACTTCGGTGGCCGCGGATAAACACACCACCCATGCCACCGGGGGTTCGCTCAGCCATATGGGCGTACGCCCTCATGCGCTCCAGGAAGGAGTCGAACTGTTGTTGAGTCCGTGGCATTTGGTGGTTCAGCGGTTGCAATAGTTGCTGTGCGCGCGAAGTGCCGACACCTGGGGCCCATAACAGTACGACAGTCAGGATTGAAAAGTTTGGGACGTTGAATCCCGTGGTGTCAGCTTCAAAGCGTACAATCTAAAAACGCGCCAGCGTCTGGTCGATCCGTTCTGCCGCATGGACGCGGAAGTCGATGAGAGCCGTCCCCGAATTAAGACGTCGTTCATCTTCAAGGTTCTCGAATTTAGCACGGAGGAGGAAACAGTATGTAGGTGGCCCCATCAGTGTGACGCCCACCAATGTTCACTCCAAAGTTGATTATTGCTGAGGGGGGGCTCTCATGGCAATGGTCCTTGCGAGACCTCCGAGGCCACGGTGTACAACGGCGGCCTGTTGGGGAGTCGTGGTGCCCGTGGTCACGTTGATCCAGGCATGTGCGCAAACGAACTCGCGGCAAAAATGCGTTACCGACAGGGTCCCAGTGAGGGCCGGTAGTACGCGCGTCGTCTGCACCACGCTGCATCTGTCCAACAGCACATCTGATGGCTACCCAGAGGAGGCCAAATATAGCGATGCCAATCCAGCGGCCCCGCAGGTCGGCGTCAGTTGCACGTCTCTGTTGTGCACGGGGTGACGTTGCCGTCAGTTTACGAGGAGGTGCAGGCGGCACGATGTCAGAACGAATGTTACCGCGCATGGCATCTTCGAAGAAATTGTCAATTGGCGTTGGTGGATGGACTTCAGGATTGTAGTAGCGCAGAGATGTAGGGCTCAGGTAGGAGACTTCTGCGTTGACAGAGGCAGCAGTGCAAGTGCCATTGCGATGGTCTAGAGCTCCACCACGTGGAACCACTTCACCCTGAGGTCCACCATGTCGGTAGTCCACCAGATAGTGCCATGGCTAGCAAAGAGTAAAGCTATATCTGTCCACCAACGGCCAGCTCCGCTGCCAAGTGTACTGCCGGCTGGGATGCCCAACCAGATGCTTCGCCTATCGAAGCATACGTCAAATCCTGTTGTATCGTATTAGCGATAGTGCCACAAGTAGGGGGGATCGCGTGAGCGGCGGTGATACATCTCAACGGCAAAAGGTGGAACCTTTTGTGTCTCGATGTAAGGTCGCGGGCCGCGGTGCGGCTCGGTCAAATAGGTGGCCGGCCACTTGGGCCAAAATGGCCGTGGACAAACGCTCGATACCTCTCGCCTTTGCCCTTCCTCCTTCAAGATAGTCCTGGGGGGGGGTCCCAGGGGAAGGGGGGGGGGCTGGGGGGGTCCCTGGTCAGAATACCGATCATCCTCCCCGGGGGGTCCCAGGGCCCAAGAGGACCCCAAGACAGCCAAAGAAGGTCCCAAGACGGTCCAAGAGGGCCCCGACTCGCCGAGCAGTCGGTCCAAGACGCCACCCTCCTGACAGCCCAAGCGGCTGCCAAGACGCTCGAAGAGGCCTCCAAGAGCACACAAAGTGGGTCCCAACAGGCAAAATCAAATGATTTCCGTTTGGTTGTTGAGCGATTCTTGCGTTCTCGCCTTTTCGACTTCCCGAGGCCCCAAGACGGCCCAAGATTACACCAAACTCGGCATAAGAGGCCCCCAAGAGGTTCCCAAGGCGGCCCCAAACACAACCCAAGAGGGCCCCAAGACTGCCCTCGAGGCCCAGACGGCCCAATCGGCCCCCAAAAAGGCTCCAAGACAGTGCCCACACGGGAGCTCGAACGAATATTTCGAGCTCTCGGCTCCGAGAAGCTCCCAGGATGCCACAAAGGGCCTCCAAGAGGCCCTGACGAGGCCCCAAGAGCCCCCAAGAGGCCCCCAGGAGGCCCGAAGGGATCTCCAAGGGGCCCCCACGATGCTCCCGGGAGGCTTCCAAACTGTCCTCAAGAGGCCTGCGAGCGCGCTCCGAAGCGGCCCCACGAAGCATTCCTGAGGACTCTGCCCCACGTCAACGTCGGCGTGCCGCCGTCGTGGTCGTCGTCCCCCTTTTCAAGGTCGGCGGGGCCAACCGCAACGCCTTCCCAATATTCATGGGCTGCTCAGCGACGTACTGCCGTGACGTCGGTCCTTGAACCTGACACCTCGATCTTCTTTCAGGCCGTCGACTCCATCGTTCGTGTGGACTTCGCGCCGAGGGTTGCTTCGTTTCGGCCCCTGGGCCCCAAAACAGGCTCCCGGGGATTGTTCGACCTTGGACGCCCGCGCCAGCGTCGTCGCCGCCGTCGAGGGCGGCGAGAGTCTGCGGCGCCTCCCTCCTGCCCATAATCCACTTCATTTGCCGCCTCATGGCGAGGGGGACCGTTCGGGGGGGACCGGCTTGGAGGGGAAATGTTGACCTGGAATCGCCGACACATCGGCGATAGGGAAACCACGCGTTCGTAGGCGGGGTGGGCTATCGGACACCTGTCGCAACGGTGCCCTGATCTGGGCCTGGGGGCCCCAGGACCCATGAGACGGACCCCCCCGCAGGCACGGCGAGAAGCGAGCAGTCCGCACCCGAAGCACGCTGCTTGCTGCCTGTCGGGGAGGGGATGAATGGAGGAGGAGATGGAGGAGGAGGAGGAGGAGGAGGAGGAGGAGGAGGAGGAGGAGGAGGAGGAGGAGGAGGAGGAGGAGGAGGAGGAGGAGGAGAGGAGGGAGGAGAGAGGAGGGAGGAGGAGGGAGGAGGGACTCGGCAGTGGCCAGTGGGCCATGGTCCGCCCCCCGCCCCGTCGCGTCCCACAGGAGCCATCGAGCTTGAACTTGGTCGAGTTGCGGGGTGTGGGATCGGAATCGGATTGAGTCGCCCGGGCATCGATGCGTGTCGGATCAAAGTCGGATCGCCGCGCCCAGCTGGGGCTGGCCCTGGTCGATGCCGGTGAATCGGACTGACTCGGATCGAATCGGAATCGCGGCCCGGGCAGGCGAATCGAACCGCATCGAGTTGGATCGTAGTCGTCCCTGGGCATCCCTCCCCTCACATGGAGTTCGACGGCGTCAAGGATCTCATCGCAGAGTTGGAGGTCGCCGTGGTCACAGCTGATGCCGACTTCGGCGCCTCCCCCCGCCCTTTCGGGTGTCCGCTGGACGGCGAGCACAATCCTGGAGCGTCGGGCGACCGCATCTCACATTTTCGCTTTCAACCTGTCTCCCCATCTCTCTTTCTCTCTCTCTCTCTCTCCCGAGGGTCGCGGGGATGGCGCCCCCACCGGCTCTCAGGGGGCGGCCCCGAGGACATGACTGAAGAATCCACAATTTCTCTCTCTCTCTCTCTCTGCCTGTCTGTCTCTCTTTCTCTCCCGTTCTCTCCTCTCTGCCTGTTTGTTCTTCTTTTTTATTATCTCTCTCTCTCTCTCTTTCTCATTTTCTCTCGATTGCCCAGGCATTCAGCGCCGCAATAAATCACGGAGTGCACAGTTCCCTGCGATTTCGGCATCGGGGGGGGGGGGTCGGGCGTTTTCGGGCCGACGGGCCCGTAGACGCCTCTCCGAGGCGAGAGGGACAGGGGCCGAGCGCTCCGTGTTCATGTGTCGACAATTCGCCACCAGGGAGTGTGGGACAGTAAGCGTCGCACAGAGACGCTGTCACAGCGGGCGCAGACCCTGACACCTGACGGTTTCGATTGACTCGCAGCTTTGAGGCCGCTGGGGTTCGCGCAGAAGGGAGGGGCAAGCGGAGGAGAAAATCAGGAGAAGAAGATGAGGACTGCTCTCCTGAAGCCCTCCCACCTCTTTCAAGATCCCCCGCGGAAAGGCCGAGAGGGCCATCTGGTGTAACCCCCCGCCACGTGACAACACGGCCGTGACTTCGCGCCAGCTGGCGAAGTACATTGGCAGTAATAGCCCTGTCCCTGGTCCGGGGCTTCCCCATGCACCTTCCCTCTGCCCCAAGGATTTCTCCTGAGCCCGTTCGCCGTCTGAGCACAGTCAGACGCTGAGCAGTCGGCCGAGTGGGCTCGATGCCGCCAGGGTGATTGGAATTGGGCCCGTTCGGCACGATCTCAAGCCCGTTAGGCAGCCGTCACAAGTGCTCAGACGCCGAATGGCCCTAGGGCCCTAGAAGGAGGCCCTCAAGCTACCCGGTCTGCAGCTTCCCCGGCGCTCTCTCTTGTGGGCAATCAAGATTGTCTCAAGGCACCCACTCCTACCGCGGCCAGCCGCACGCGACAGCCTGGGCCTGCATGGGACCTCTCGGATGCCTCAGACTCCGCACGTGGAGATCATGCGACGGGGGAGTGTGACGGGCTTGATATCGACCCTGCGTCAGGAACGCGCACGATGAGGACGGGTCGTGAACTAGGAGGCGGCCCGCGAAAGGCCAGAGGCAGGGCCTTAGGACGATGCCGAGGACGAGAAGGGGAGAAGGGCAGTGGGGAGGGGAAGGAGAAGGAGCAACCCCCACGCGACTCTCTGCGACTGCACCGGAGGACTCCCCGTCGCTCGGACGTCCAGCCCCTGTGTTTTTTTTGGTCTCGTGCGCGGTTGTTTCGCCAAATGATCAAGGATGCTCCTCGATGGTCCTCGCCGACGGAGAAATACACACGTCCGAGCGATGCCAAGCCCGATGTGATAAAACAGGACAGGCTCTGCCAGAAATGTTCTAAGAACATGTCGCGGGAACCACAAAAGGCTCTTAGCACGTTGTTTGGTAGGGCTGCAGGTGAGCCAGGACGCCTCGCCACTGCTTGAAGGAGGGAGGAGAGGCGTCGGGAGGAGGTCCCGACAAGAGGAAGGGCGGCGAGGGAGCGCCCCGCGGCCCGCAGCCTCGAAGCCGGAGCTCAGCTGCTGCCGGATCCAGCTCACCCACTGCTCCACGGGCACGCCCTCCGCCTGCGGGGCCCTCCCGACGGAGGCCACCCCCAAGGTGACGGGCAGGGGCGTCCGAGGAGCAGCATCGGAGCGGGAGGAGGAGGAGGAGCAGCAGCATCGGAGCGGGAGGAGGAGGAGGAGGAGGAGGAGGAGGAGGAGGAGGAGGAGGAGGAGGAGGAGGAGGAGGAGGAAGAGTATATGTGTGTGTGGGGGGGCGAAGGCAGGAGAGGGATGGAGGGGCGGGGAAGGCGGGGAAGGGGGGAGATGGAGGAGGGAGAGGCGGGAGGGTAGGCGAGGAGGAAGAGGGGGCTGGCAGCACCCACCAGGGAGGTGGAGGAGGAGCAACGACAAGAAGCATCCGGGATGTTCAAAAAGGACGGACCACGACAGGGCTGGCCGCCGCTGTCACGACAGGCCCGCCTCCGAGTATCGGTATTGGCATTCATCTCTGAAGACCAACACGGTGTGGCTTCTTGTTGCTCAGCGTGTCGCCGCGGCGGCCCTGGCGACACGCTATGCCATGCCAGCGGGTAGCGCGTTGCTCCGCTCTGCGGGGCGGGCTGCTGGGAAAAGCCCGGGCCGAGGAAGATGGCGCTTGTGGATCGGGGCGTGGTTGGCGTATCGCGCCGAAGCGCGGTGGGCCCAAAATGGCGGCTCTCAACACTCGCTTTTCAGCTCTATGCCCATCGGTCGGCACATACAGTAAGAAATCTTGCTATAAGGGGCACGTTCATCGTCGGCTCTGAGCTTCGTAAGGTGCCCGAGGGCTTTCTTTGCAGGCCCTTCTTGGGAGATACGACGCTGTCGCGGGGCATCCCTTGGCAGGCTGGCTTCTTGCATGGTGCCCCACCTGTAAGCCACATCCTGGCCACGCTGATCATGGGCCAAAGCTTGGTGCATACGCATCCTCCCACCCCCTCTCGTGGAGAAAAATCACGACGGGAGGTGTTTTGCCACTTCGGCCTCCCCTGGCCGTCTAAACATTGGCATGGTATAAGGATAGTTTCCGGGGGAAGGGGTCTGGACCTGTGAGGGTCCGCGCTGAGAAAGAATCACGACGCCAGAGATCTGGATATGTGCCCCCCCACTCGCCAAGCCAGGAGGGTGTATACACTGATCCTGAGCCCACGATGGGCCAGGCCCAGATCGGTGTCGGTGTATTGTGGACCTGGCGAAGGAGGAGACGGGGTCGGAAGATCGCGCCTCCAGAGGCCTCCCAGAAAGGGGTCCGAGTAGCTGGGGTCGGAGGTTCGCGCCGCATCGCCAATGCATCGGTGATACGTCGCCGATGCATCGTCGATGCATCGGCGACGTATCAACGGCGCGATCCGTCGGCAGCACCCGCTCGCACCCCGTCTGGGAGGCCTGAAGAGCGGGTCCCAAGGCAACCGGGCCCCGAGGCTCGTCGCCGCTCTCGGCCCCGCGGGGCCCTGCCCGGGCCCCAGGATCGTCTGACAACGCGTCTTTCCCCAATCGAATACGGACTCGTTTTCCTGTGCGATTGCATGAAAGTGGGCACACAAATATACAAGACAAAAAATTCGTGACCGATCGAAGAAATAATGGCGACACGCTGGTGCTCGTGAAAGGCCGGGGGTCCAGGAGCGGCTTATCTCATGCCACGTCTGCCTGCACAGGGATATGGGAAACATCTGGCTGTTGGGCCGCGTCGGACGGGCCAGTGCATCGGCGACGCTGCGCGCCCCTCCGACCCCCTCTGCTCCGACCCACGTGGGGTGTCCCAGGAACCATGAGTCAGCAAACTTGCGCGTCGCGTTTGGGGGGTGGCGGCTGCTGCCGTCGGCTTCTGCTGGCGGCGCCCCTGCCTTGCTCTCGTCGGCTTCCGCCGGACACGAGTCGACAACGCCTGTGGGAGGCCTGGACGGACCCGAGGCGCCCGGGTGGCGCCCCCCCCCCGGGGCTGGCGCCGACATCAGCCGCCGGTGCCAAGATTTGCCGCTCGCTCCCCTCGAGGGCCGGGGCCTCATGAGTGCCCTCGGATGCGCTGTTGTGCTTCTTTTTGTGCGCCAGGCCGAAAGCCAAGTCGCGGAACAATGGATAGATACTCGCGCACTGGGGCACCACACGAAGGTGAGCCACGAGCGCGGAGTCGTCCGCCCCCCCCCTCTCCCCCCCCGACCCTTCGCATTCCCAGCTCCTCCCGGGGAGGCGGAGCCCAGAGATGCCATGCATTCTGGCCTGGAGGTCCTGGCAGAATCTCGTGCAACCTTGGGCCCCTCCCTGCTCCTGGCTCGCGCTGGCAGCTGCAGCCTGCGCTCCATCTGGGCAAACAACTGGGCTGTGGAACAGGAGCTGGCCGCGGTCGCTGCGCGACGCCGCGCCGTCAATCCCCACGACCTTGCAGTCCACAGCCTCAGAGGAAGCCTTGCGTCCAAATGGTCGCGCTGGCTGGACGCCTTCCCTTGAAACTGGACGCCATGCCAGAGAAGGAGTCGACGGCAAGAGGTGCAAGAGAGCCAGAGGGGGAGATGGAAGAGGAGGACAACCGGGAGACGTGTGGAAGCGGCACCGTCGCCCTCCCCGACAACTTGTAGCACGAAGAAGCGATGACAGAGCAGCGTGGAGAGCCCACCACTGCGGGAACGAGCGAGGGGCTGCGAGGGGGGCGCCACGGTTGACAGAGCAGCGTGGAGAGGTCCTGCCACTGCGGGAACGAACGAGGGGCTGCGAGGGGAGCGGCACTGTGCCCCCGTATGTGTCCCCGTACGATCCACTCGAATGGTCCTCCCGTGTGCCCATCTGGCTCCGCCGCATTGTCCCCTCTGGCGTGGGCCCACAGCGCTGTCACGATGCGTCCGCGCCCTGTGCGCGCATGCGTGACAAAAACTACGTCGAGTCGAGCGTTGCAACACACATGGGCCTACGAAGGTACGCGGCTACGCACCGTTCGGGTACCCCTCACTCTGGTATATACATTTTTGCACGCTGGGGCACTGCACGAAGGTGAGCCACGAACACGGAGTCGTCCGCCCCCCCCCCCTCTCCCCCCCAACCCTTCTCATTCCCAGCTCCTCCCAGGGAGGCGGAGCCCAGAGATGCCATGCATTCTGGCCTGGAGATCCTGGCAGAATCTCGTGCAACCTTGGGCCCCTCCCTGCTCCTGGCTCGCGCTGGCAGCTGCAGCCTGCGCTCCATCTGGGCAAACAACTGGGCTGTGGAACAGGAGCTGGCCGCGGTCCCTGCGCGACGCCGCGCCGTCAATCCCCACGACCTTGCAGTCCACAGCCTCAGAGGAAGCCTTGCGTCCAAATGGTCGCGCTGGCTGGACGCCTTCCCTTGAAACTGGACGCCATGCCAGAGAAGGAGTCGACGGCAAGAGGTGCAAGAGAGCCAGAGGGGGAGATGGAAGAGGAGGACAACCGGGAGACGTGTGGAAGCGGCACCGTCGCCCTCCCCGACAACTTGTAGCACGAAGAAGCGATGACAGAGCAGCGTGGAGAGCCCACCACTGCGGGAACGAGCGAGGGGCTGCGAGGGGGGCGCCACGGTTGACAGAGCAGCGTGGAGAGGTCCCGCCACTGCGGGAACGAGCGAGGGGCTGCGAGGGGAGCGGCACTGTGCCCCCGTATGTGTCCCCGTACGATCCACTCGAATGGTCCTCCCGTGTGCCCATCTGGCTCCGCCGCATTGTCCCCTCTGGCGTGGGCCCACAGCGCTGTCGCCGTGCGTCCGCGCCCTGTGCGCGCATGCGTGAAAAAACGACGTCGAGTCGAGCGTTGCAACACACATGGGCCTACGAAGGTACGCGGCTACGTACCGTTCGGGTACCCCTCACTCTGGTATATACATTTTTGCACACTGGGGCACTGCACGAAGGTGAGCCACGAACACGGAGTCGTCCGCCCCTCCCCCCCCCCCAACCCTTCTCATTCCCAGCTCCTCCCAGGGAGGCGGAGCCCAGAGATGCCATGCATTCTGGCCTGGAGGTCCTGGCAGAATCTCGTGCAACCTTGGGCCCCTCCCTGCTCCTGGCTCGCGCTGGCAGCTGCAGCCTGCGCTCCATCTGGGCAAACAACTGGGCTGTGGAACAGGAGCTGGCCGCGGTCGCGGCGCGACGCCGCGCCGGCAATCCCCACGACCTTGCAGTCCACAGACTCAGAGGAGGCCTTACGTCCAAATGGTCATCCGAATGGCCTCCCCGACTCCCTGTAGTACGAAAAAGTAATGGCAGTACAGGGCCAACAAGAGCCAGCCTTCCTGCAAAATGCTTCTGCGCAATCAGTTGAGAGCAGTCAGAATGCTTCTGTGATCTGACATGCAAAATGGAGTGCATTTTGCATGTCCGATCAGCGTGGAGAGCCAGTCACTGCGGGAACGAGCGAGGGGCTGCGAGGGGGGTGGAACGGTTCCCTCGTACGCGTCCCCCATATGGTCCTCCCATATGCTCATATGCCCCCCCCTATTGTCCCCCCAGGCGTGGGCCCAACGCGCTGTCGCCATGCGTACGCGCCCTGTACACGCATGCGCGCTATACAAGGCGTCAAATATCTACACTGCTACGAACCGCTCGGCCACCCATCACTCTGATAGATGTTGGCGCACTCGGCCTCACCCGAGCGCACGCTGCTGCTCTACGGCAGGTTCGCGTCGTGTCGACCCCGGCGTTGGTTTCTGACACCGCGCTGGATCGTTCAACCTTGAACGATCGGCCGCTGCCGCAACGTCCGATCGTTCAACATCGACCGATTCTGGGTCGCCCGCGGCGTTCAACCTTGAACGCCGCTGGCGGGGTCGCCGCCGGTCGACACGACACGAACCTACCGTAGTCTATGCGCCAGCGTCTCTCGTCTGGCAGTTGTGGTCCAGAGCCACTTGCACGCTGGAAGCGGCGATGCCGACGTGCACCGTGCAAGAGGAGAGCGGCAGTCCAGCCCATCGTGGAGGCGCGCACGCGGTGCCAGCGCTCGGCGGCGAGGATGCGCTGCCAGTAACAAGTAGACTGCGAAAGAGACTGTCGAGATTCGCAGCCCGTGCGACCAGGACAGAAATTCGACCCACGGCCCACAACTTTTGACACAAGCTTTGCTCAGAACGGCGTGGCTGTCACGGAGTCACGAAACCTGTGGCCGTGAACGACGGCTGGGGGAGGTAGACGGCGAGGGGGGGGGGTCATGCAGGTCGTCCACGCCCACGGTCATCATCAATTGATGCTTTGCCGACCTTTCCGAACCACCACTCGTCGCCAGCGGGAGCAGGGAAAGGAGAAGATTAGATGCACGGTCGGACCCGCCATTGCGGACCGTCGGAACCATCACTGCGGATGCCCAGGTGACGCGCACCTCCTCCACCTCTCCGGAGCACGTGCTCGGGCGATGGCCTGCCATTTCGATGGCCGTGAGCCTACTCGGGTGCCACGCGGGCCACTCTGGCACCAATCCTCCGACCTGTCAGTGTGAAAAGCTTTTCTGTGTGAGTCCTCGTCGTCGTCGCCGCTGCCCTCATTGACGCTTTTTTGTTTGAGTCGTCGTCTTCGTCGCCGCCGTCGTTCCCCCTCTATCCCTGGGCCCTCATCCTCAAGCGTTCTAGCCATAGGGAAATCAAGCAACGTCGTTACCGAGTCGAGGGGAAGCCACGTCCCGTTGATCCCTCCACCGCCGTCGGGGGGGGGAGTGGAGGGGGGTTTCCCGGGCGGGGTCCCGGCGGTTGTGACCCCCCACGAAAGAAGCCCTCTCCCTGGGTGAAGCTTTCACCTTCAATTTCTTGCCTCCCAGACGGCCCTGAAGCAGCCCAAGATCGCTCAAAGACGGCCCAAGATATTCGCAAGTCGGCTTTAGATACCTCCAAGACGCCCCAAGAGGGCTCCAAGAGGACACTCAAGAGGGCACCGCGAGGCGAACATCATCGATTACCATCGAAAATTATTCGACATGTTTCACCTCCTCGCCTCCTCGCGTTCTCGGCGTCGTCGCCGCCGCCGTTATCGCCGCCGCCGGTGTCGTCGTCGTCGCCCCCAGTCAGCGTCGGCGGCACTGGCCGTACGGCCTTCATTAGCGTTGCAGCGGCTGTCCTCTGTGCACGAGCGCGCCCCCCGAAGCCACTCGGCCTCCAGTGCAGCGTCAGCGGATTGGACGCTGGAAAGCTCGTCGCCTGGGTACGCGATATAGAAGAGGGTAGACAAAACAGCAGCGCCCAGGCAAGATTGCACACCTCGGACTGCAACGATGCCGTCGGCCACAGGCAAAGGGAACGTGAGCGAAAGGAGAAGGGCCATGAGAAGAAAGAGGAGGCGGAAAGCGACCAATCTTGGGAAACCTTGATAGCGCGACGAGGGGGGAGAGGTCAGGGGCAGTCGCGCACAGGCCGGGCGTGCCATCAGAGCCGCCTGCCCAAGCCAGCACCGACTCGAGATGTGTGCCCGAGCACCAGCATGTGGGGGGGGGGAAGACGCCCCTCCCTACGTACGATCGCTCTCTGACGTTGACGTTACCAGGGGGGCGGTGTGGCCTGGGTAACCATCAACGCGCGCCAGAGGATACAAAACGCAAGATCCTCCCCGCGGTTGCCCCGAATCCACAACAGGGCCCCCCCGGGATCCGGTCGGCACGACGGCGGCACCCCATCTCCTCCCCTGGTCTCGTCCCCGTGCTCCTGCTCCTGCTCCTGGTCGGGCTCCGGGTTGCTCACAGGACTGCCCCCCCCCCCACAGGTGGTCCCCGCTGGCCAGTCCGGAGCGGTCCCAGCACCCCCCGCCGCGCATGGGGCGCGGGGCGCCGCCGGAGGCGGCGCCTGGGTGCCCAGACCGCCTCGCCCTCAGGAACCCCCTCCTCCACCTCCGCCGACGCCTGCCCCTGCCCCGCGTGCCCCTCGCCGCCCCCGTCCCCGGAACGCCAAGAGGGGCCCGCCTCCCGTCCCCGGAACGCGCGCCTCGCCGCGCCGCCGGCGCCCGAGGCCTCACAGCGAGACCTTCGGCGACTCGCGGGCGGCAGGGCCGCGCCGCGCCGCGCCGGCAGCGAGCTGCTGGGCGCGCCGCGCGGCCGAGCTCGCGGCGGCGAGCGACAGCGGCTCGGGCCTGGCGGCGGGGCCCCGCCGGCCACGGCAGGCGGGCAGGTCGAGGGCGGCCATGCAGCCGTCGCAGAACGCGTGGTGGGCCTCGGCCAGCTCCTGGGAGGCAAGCCAGCGCCTCGCGACGGCCTGGCGCCGCAGCCGGCTCAGGAGCTCGAGCTCGGAGCGCTCCTGCCGCCTCGCGTCCTTGCTAAGGCCGAACGCGCCGTGCGTCGGGTCCGAGGGGCTGGCGCAGGCGGTGGTCGCCACAGAGGCGCGGGAGGAGTCGTCGCGCACAGAGTCGTTGCTGCTGCTGGCGGCATGGCTTCGCTCGCTGGCCCTGCCGAGCAGGCACGGCCGCTCTGGCTTCTGTAGCGCCTGCATTGTCACGCACCGCGCGTGGTCAGATCTCGCGCTCGTTGGGCAACCCTTGGGCCTAAACTGGCTTGAGCCCCAAAGGCCAGGGAATGCTGTTGTTTGAAGCTCCGGCCCACTTCGCAAGATCGGTCAGCATCGCATCGGAATGTGCGTCGGATCGGGCTGCATCGGCACGGAGTCGAAATCGAACCAGAGTGGCTGCGCTAGGATACACAACGGCACCGTGCGACTGGTGGGCCGCATCGGATCGATGGAAGAATACCGTGATCAGGGCTGAACCTGAAGGGTGTTTTTCGTTTTCGTTTTATTATCGTTTTCCCTCGCGTTTGTCTCGAACCCGCCTTTACCGCAAAACGAAGTCGAAACGAAAACGGCCTACGAAATCACCAAAAACACCGTTTAGGTTCAGCCCTGATCGAAATCAGATCGGATCGGGGCTGCCACATTCGGCATAGAGTCGGATCGAGCGGATCGATATGGGCCCTGCCTCTAAGGGCAAGCATCTGGGGCAGATGCAGAACTTGGTAAGTGACCCCTGCTCGTTCTGCCCCTCCGGCTGCTCCTCCATCTCCTCCTCCCCCTCCTTTGACTTTTGGCAAACTTTGGCAAATTTTTAGATCGTAGCGTCTGCATCATCCCCCTCGTTCTGCTCCTCCTCTTACTGCTACCCGTTCGCCTTCAGCTCCTCCCCCCCTCCCTGCGTCAGCTCGTCGCCGTCGTCTTCCTCCTCCTCCTCCTCCTCATCCTCCTCCTCATCCTCCTCCGCCACCTGTCCCTTCTCCAAATGCTGCTCATGGTGTCCCTCTCTGTCCTCCAGCTCGCCTTCTTGCTCGTCCTCCTCCTCCTCCTCCTCCTCCTCCTCCTCCTCATATTCCTGCTCGTCCCACTTCTCCTCCTCCTCCTCCTCCTCCTCCTTCTCCTCCTCCTCCTACTCCTCCTCCGCCTCCTCCTCCTCCTCCACCTTCTCCTCCTCCTCCTCCTCCTCCTCCTCCTCCACCTTCTCCTCCTCCTCCTTCTGCTCCTGCTTGTCGTCGGGTCCTCCTGCTCCTCCAGCTCCTTGCCTCCTTCCTCTTCCTCCCCATCCACCTGACACTGATGCGGGTGTTCGTCCTCCTCTGCCATCGCCCTCCTCCGACCTCCTCCCGAGGGCGGGCCTGAACCCTGGTGTACAGGTCGGAGATCAGCAGCTTCTTCACACGCGCCTTCACGCCCCCTGTGCCCTCGCTGGCAACTGTCGCAGCGGCCGCATGCCGTGATGTTGGAGGAGTGGACAGCAGAGCTTTGAGGTTCGATGGCAGAGATGCATAATGCAAGGCTTTCGATCTGTCTGATATTTGTTGAGTGCTTCAGTCTCGCCTTGGTTGTGGGCCTCTCGGGGCATCCGTGGAAGGGGAACCAGTAGGGTGAAGAGGGTAGTAACAGACACAACCAAATCATACCGCCCCCCCGTATCTCGCCTCCGCCAGGTTTCAATTTTTTTTTCCTGGCGTAGCTCCTGGCTGCACGAGGCGGAGTAGGTCGAAACCCGCGTTTGGATATGTCATGCCGGATAAGATGGACACGTCCGCTAGGACTGGGGCGGACAAGACCTCAGCGTACGAACGATCGGTCACACATGCTGAACGGCTGCTCACAAGATGTATACACGTACAAACGGGCTTGGCCTGTGTAGTGAGCCCGCTGGCTCTCCAGTAAACTGTGCAAGCGCTGGTGCAAGCTGCCTGCTACCTATTTGGCGGCGATGGAAGCAAACAATGAACGCTGATGAAACGGACTGTTCGTGATCTTGCTGCCACCATCGCTGTCGCACTTGCTACCGCTTTCTCTCATTGCCCCTGGATTAGAGGCCTCCTAGATGGGGTCCGAGTAGATGGTGTCGAAGCATCGCGCCAGCCTGCCAAAGCACCGCCGATGCATCGGCGATGCATCGGCGATGCCTCCTCGACGTCGGCGATGCATCGGCGGCGTCGGCGTGGAGAAAATGGAGCCCCACAGCGAGCCCTATCGCCGATGCATCGCCGATGCATCGGCGATGCGGCGCGATCCTCCGACCCCATCCATAGGGCGACGAGATCTATGCATATCCACTGCTCCTGGCCAGGCCCATCCTGGGCCCAGGAGCGGTGTATATGCCTCCCTGGCCAGGCCAGGAGGGCGTATACACCGCTCCTGGGCCCAGGATTGGCCTGGCCAGGAGCAGTGGATATGCATAGATCTCGTCGCCCTAAGCCACTCGGACCCCAGCGTGGCAGGCCCAGATGGATCTCGGCGGGTCCCAGCTCGCCTCTCCGGCGGCCGTGCGGAGCCAGCCGGGCGCTCCCAGAACGCCCTCGGCGACGCGCACATGCTGGAAACCATATTGACTACCTACCAGACCACCCCAACCCAACCCGAAGACCCGAATTTCGGGTTGGGGGGGGTAAGGGTTCCACATGTGTTTTTTCGATGTTTCCCGACACCCCCCCCACTGGAAATCGAGGGTAAATCTGAGCCTTCGGGTTGGGTTGGGGTGGTTTGGTGGGTGGTGACATATGGAGGCTGGGAATTGACCAAAACCATCCGAGAACGCAAGGAATCACTGAATCTCGGAAGCCTCGAAGCCTCCCAGGAGGGCGCGATGTCTGTTCGCAGTGTCGATGCCCCAGAGGACTCGGCCGTTTCTGCGAGGAGGTTTTCCATCCTCGCTGATCACTTGCTCGTCGAGCCTGGGGCCTGGCGAAGGCTCCCAGAGGCAGAATCACCCCAGCAAAGCACCTTGATAGTGGCCAAGGTGAACACAGCCATGTGCACGGCCATGTGCACCAGAGTGTATGTTTTATCAGGGATCGTCGCCGTCCGATCCAAAAACGTAGACGGCATTATGTAAGGCAAGAGCACGGCTCCTGGCTACACGGTAAAGAAGTCTCCAGCGAGACGGCTGCCGGACCAAACGGGACTCTTCTGTGGTTCTCTGTTACTGCTGCGAGAACCCCTTTGACGCTGTGAACGAGAATAGAATTGCCTAGCACCTCCGTCGTGATTTTCGTCAAACCAGAAGAGTTGAACGTATTCCTATTCGGCGTTTCGGCATTGGGCGGAATGGGGAGGGGGGGGGTCTGGCTCCGGACCTCTGCGTAGTGTGACTGCTTGCAGCAGTGCGTTGTATGGGGGAGATCCCACCAGCTAGAAACAGGCGCCCAAAACAACCAAGATCTACTCCACGGGGGTGCGAGGGCCCGCGCCGATCGGCAAAGCAGTGGATAAGAAAACAATCACGAGGTGGGGGTCCTGGCCTCCCTGGGCGTCGCTGCCCCTGGCCCTCTCCGGGCGCGACCGCGCGCCAGACCCGCCCCCCGTGCAACCCCCGCGCCCTCACGCGGGTCACCCCCTCGGCGCCTCGTCGCTGCAGGCCAGCTTCGCCGAGAGGCACTGGGAGTAGAACCACCGCCTGCCCGCAGGCGGACTTTGCAATCGGGGCCGCGAGGTTAAACGAGCAAATCCCGTGCTGCCAACAAGACGTCGAGGTTGAAAAACGGATGGCGTTTTAGAATCGGGTTTTTGCCACCTCAGGTTGCTTCAGCCTCGTTGTTCCTGGAGGTTGGTTGGGGCTGGATGGAGGTAGCAACCCTCTAACTGGCAACATGCATATACGATGAGTAACGCTCCCACGGCAATCTAAGCTCGAACGCGCTATTGAGCATGGTAGGCGAGTGCCGCTCGAGCTCGCACCTTATCTGCCAGTGGCCGTTTCGGGGGGGCGTCCAATAGGGGGGGGGGTCAAGAGGGGGGGCGCAAATCGTGATCGGCGGCATGTGCGCGCCACCGAAGGTGAAAAGGCGTGTAAGACGTTTGGCTGTCCCCCTCCCCCATTTCCCCTCCTCTGGGATCCAACAACAAGAAATCCTGTGGGGGGATTTCTGGGGGGGGGGGGGGCGAGCTCGTCAACGCACCCCCGGGGCCTCCGTCCAGAGCTCCCAAAGAGCCCCAAGACAGCCCAACAGGGCCCAGTCAGAGCGCCAAGACAGTCGAAGAGAGCGTCATGACGGCCCAGGGTGACCACACGACAACCCAAAGTGGCTTCGAGATGGCCAACGAGACCCGAAAGACAACCCAAAAGCGCCTCCAGAGGATCGCCGAGAGGGCCAGAAAAGGCCAAAATAATTTCAATCCCTTGGAACACACGATGTTCAGCACATTCGCATTCTACTTTTTGACAGCGAACCCGACGGCCCAAGTAGCCCTCAAGATCGTCCCAAGACGGCCCATGGTGTCTCCAAAGAGGCCCCACAAAGGCCAAAGAGTGCCCAAAGACAGCCCCAGGAGCTCACCAAGACGGCCCAAGGCAGCCCCTGGAGGGCCCCACGAGGGCTTCAAGACAGCCCAAAAGGGGGAATACGAACTGACATTTCGAGCCTTTCCCACCGAGATGGCCCCTCGAGCCCCCAAGAGGCCTCGAGAGCCCTCTGAGAGGCCCCAAGGGGCCTCCAAGACGCCATCAGAGGCCCTCCAGAAGCCCCCACGAGGCCCCCAAATAGCCTCCCACATGCCCCCAATATATTCCAAGAGGCCCCAGCGACGCATCCCAAGAGACCCCCAGATTCATCCATGAGACTCCTAAGCCAAGATATAGCTTCCACGATCGTCTCAAACACTCACTCCTTATGGGGGTCGGCGGGATGGCGCACGCCACTTGAAGAAGAAGAGGGGCCACGAGGTCTGGGGAGAGAGCATGGCCAGGGCCATGATGGTGCTCAGCGCGTCGCGGCGGCAGCCCGGACGACACGCCGCGCCCTGCAAGCTAAGAGCGTTAGGGAGCCCACAAAGGACGTACGCGCCCAGCTATGTACATGAACACGGCCCCGTGACCCGCGAGACCTCCCGCGTGATACGAACATTCGCGCAATGCGACCTCTCGAAACCAGCGTGGATTCATGTATGTGTACGTCCTTCTTTCGCTCCTGAAGCGTGTCGCTCCGCTCCGCGGGGCGGGAGGCTGGGAAAAGCTCTGCACGGTGGCACCTGGGGGAAGGGGAAGCGGTTGGGGTGTCGCGCCGCAGCGTGGCGGGCCAGAACCAGCGGCACGACGCGCTGCCGTCGGGGCGTGGACCTGAGGAACCCTATAGATGAGGAACGAGGCCCCTTCTCTCCAGAAGTTCAGCTTCGACTTCCCATCGAAAATCCAAGGATGACCCGGGGCAGGATGTGAAACAGTGAAGGACCGCGGAGCCCCTCGCCAACGAAAAGGGTGCCTCACTCGGAGCCCCCGACTATGCTGCATGCCAACGTCCCTGACTGCACACGGGGCACAGCTGCTGCAGGGTCGACCACCACCCGCCCACGGCGGACGTGGCTGGGCGCTTCGCCCCGCCGGGCCCCGACGCGCCACGCGGCGCGGCGGGCTGCCGCCAGGAAGCCGGCCAGGCCTCTGGCGCTCTGGCGGTCGCTCGAAGGCTGCGCAGCAGGGCCGAACCTAAGCGGTGTTTTTTTCGTTTTCGCTGTGCTTTCGTTGTCCCTCGCTTTTTGTCTCGAATCCGCCTGTACCGCAGAACGACGTCGAAACGAAAAGGGCCCGCGAAATCACCAAAACCACCGTTTAGGTCAAGCCCTGCTGCGCAGTCTGCACCTCGCTGGCGCAGTCTGCTCCACGATCGGCGGCTCAAAGCTGGAACCCCGCAGGATGGGGTTGAGGTCACTCGTCCTCAAAGCCCCATTCCTCAGGGCCTCATCTCTGCATCGTCGACACGAAGCAGAGCGATAATGGGCCTGTGTACTTTCACTCCAGGCAGCAAGCTACAGCTGCCCCCACGGCGTACGTTACCGTATCTTTCGCATCGGCATCTGGTGTAACAAAAATCAGGGCAGGTGCGCGGTGACGTGCCAGGCAGATAGGTGGCGGTTGGTCCGCCGATCGACAGGGTCCGATCGCAGGAGGGAGACTCTCCTGAGCCCTCTGGCGCGTGGGCGGAGGGAGAGAGGTGGGAGGTGGAACGTGAGGGCGAGGGAGGAGGGAAGTGTGGTGCACGAGAAGGGGGGATGCAGAGAGCAGGCGGGGACGGCAGCTGTTCAAGAGGAGGAGGAGGAGGAGGAGGAAGAGGAGGAGGAGGAGGAGGAGGAGGATAAGGAGGAGGAGAAGGAGGAGGATAAGGAGGAGGAGAAGGAGGAGGAAGAGGAGGAGGGGCAGCAGGCCGTGGAGCGGGAAGAGGTCGTGGCATAGAGAAGACGGGCCGCCTCCTCCCTCCCTTCTCCCTCCTCCGACCAGTGCAGTGCCTTTAACTTGCTGCTGCACTGCACTTGGCAACAATGCTTTCCTGCATCCTGGGCGCCGATGCGGCAAGTTTGCCAAATACTCGGGCCCCCCCGAACTCGGATACGCTAGACCAGGACATCCGGCATCCCTCGAAACTAACGTTCTCCAGACGGCTGCACGAAACAAAAGCAGCACTGAAACATTCCTGACAAGAGGCTCAATATCCTGCACGACCGCCCGTAGACTCGGACAAAGGCCCGAGCCCTGCAATGCAACAACAACAACAATGACAACAACAACAACAACAACAACAACAACAACAACAACAACAACAACAACAACAACAAACAACAACAACAAACAACAACAACAACAATCACTTTACCCGAACGCTCAGTGTTCTCACCAGTGCCAGGGTTTTCATGCGACGCCAGCCAATACCCCCACTTTGTGGGGGGGCAGTGCAAGCTCTACCAAATATCCACACGACTCTTCGCCACCACCCACACCCAGCTTCCCGCCCTATGACGTTCGGACACTTCACTTCGTGGCCTGCGGACGACCGTGGCTACTACACTGGCGTGGAGTACACACCCACAGAAGTTGTTAGGACAGCGCGCGCGGGTAGAAATTTTGAAAAGTCGTGCAGGTGTTTTTCGAGGACCTACGGTGCGATTCGTGTGATTTTATGATGCGCGGTGCTAAAATTCTTAAGAAGCCCAATGGTTTTTGGAGATTTCGGCGTGCGCGCGCGAAGAAAAAACGAATGTGTCCCGCATGGTATTATTTGACAGGGATGATGGCCCTGGCAGGTGCGCAACCGTTGTCGCAGAAGTTCGAAAAAGTTGCTCGCAAAAGCCCGTTTGACAGAAATGTTTAAAAAGTGTTGGGTTTCCTACGAATCCGCAAGAGCGCGCGGGATGAGATTTTGACATTTTTTGTTGAAAAACCATTGGTTTTTTGATGTTTTTATGTTAAAATCGCTCCGAACACTAAGCTTTTGGAAGGATTTCGTCTTGCGCGCGCGAATGTCCACTTTACCTTATTTTTTGCAAGGGATTCTTGAAATTTGATTATATTAGAACAAGAAATGTCATTTTATAGTGTTTTTTGCAAGGGAAAGCGGGGGGGAACAAAACAACCGGATCTTGATCACATCGAATTACCTGAGGCTTCCTCACGAAAATGATGAAAATGTAGCTGCGGCCTAGGCGGCGCAGGGGGGGCGTGCACCAGGGGGCCCAACAATAATTATTCTTTAGAATTAATAATGTTCAACAACAACAACAACAACAACAACAACAACAACAACAACAACAACAATGACAACAACAACAGCAACAGCAACAACAACAACAACAGAAACAACAACAGCAACAGCAACAACAACAACAACAACAACACCAACACCAACAACAACAACAACACCAACACCACCACCACCAACAACAACAACATACACTGGTCGGCCAAGCCTGCTTTGCATGGAAGAATGGCATTTTCCCAAAGTGTCAATGCCCTGGTTGGTCCGTGTCCAGGCCTCAAGGGCCTGAGCTACAGCCTGCCTCGCACAGCTGGCCGCCAGGTGCCGTCCCGCACCTGACCAGCCAATGGTCGAACCAGATGCGCAATCCAAAAACTCTCCTCCTTCCCCTCCCCCTCCCCCTCCTCCTTCCCCCCGACTTCCCTCCTTCCCCCTCCTCCCCCTTCCCCTCCCCTCCTCCCCCTCCTTCCCCCTCCTTCCTCCGCCTCCCTCTCCTCCTTCCCCCTCCTCCCCCTCCCCCTCCTCCTTCCCCCGCCTCCTTGCTCGTATCCCCTCGACTTCCCCCCCTCCGCGCGCGCGCGCGCTCGCGCGCGCGCCGCCGCCATCCCCCCCTTACCCCTTACCATTCCCACCCTCGCCCTCGCACAGGAGGCCAACGAGCCAGACACATAAGCCGCAGCAAGAGCGCCCTGCCGCAATAGCACCCTGAGGAAGCAGTCGACCAGGGCAGGACTGCCCAGGAAACGCCCAAGACTGAGAGACAAAAACGCTGGCTATGGGCGTCGGGGTGGCGCTTCCTTCCCTGAGTTGGGAGTGGCGGAAGATGAGGTCGAGGGGGGGGGGCAGGCGGAGGGGGACGAGGAAAGAGCAACGGCAGGCAGAAGGGCGGAGAGTGCAAGGCATTGAGCTTGTAAAGAGCATCCATCAACATCGGACC